AGCCCCGGAGCAGAGGAAAGAAGCTGTCAGGAGTCAGAGCATCAGGATTGGTGCCACCTTTAGCCTACGGCCCTTCCCAGCTGGGCTGTCTTGTGCAAATCATGCAGTTCCCTGACCTCTCTGCTTCCCTATCTCTAAAATGCGTTAATTATGTCTGCCTGCTTTACAGCCAGACTGTCTCATCCAAGACACACAGGGTTGTCATTTAGAAACTACCAAGGGCCAGGATTATAATTTTAGAGTTGATGGCGTGTGGGGATGTCAGGAACCATTGTGGCTGGAGAACCATCCAGAAGTCAGGACTTTTTCCAGCCGTACCTAAATGAACAATTGTCACCAACTCTTATGGACCCCTTACCATACTGGGTGGATATACGATCAATTGCTAATCTCATTTAGTCCTCGTGTGGCTCTGAGAAGGGAGATCTTTATAATCATTCCTGTTTTATGAGCGAGTGAGGCCTGCCCGAGGGTCATATGTTAACTTAGTATAGGTCAAACTGCATGGGCAAGCCAAGCCTTTAGCTGAGCGCGTATTATAAAGTGCTGTGCTACTTCCAGACAGAATGTTCAAATCTGCACCGAGCTGAGACCTGCGCCCGAGACTTCCCCGCTCCAGCCCCTACCTGCACTCTACCACAGGATTCTGCCCAGAGGTTCCCACCTCCTGAAGCTCCATAGCCCCCCGGCTCTACCAAGCCTTGGAAGGCACCTCATGGCATCGGCCATTTCCTTTAATGTATATTTCTAGGTTACTCTTCAGACTGTAGAGCAGGGAGTGGAAATTTTTTTAATACTGAGATAAGGAAATATTTTAGGTTACAGGTCATAAGGTCTCTGGTTTAGCTCTGAACTCAACTCTTCTATAAATTTTGCATGAAAACAGCCATAGACAGTATTTACGAATGAGCATAACTATGTTCCAATAAAATGTCTCTTACGGGGATGAACATATAGTTTCACATAATTTTAACGTGTCATGAAATAGTAGACGTCTTTCCTTTATTCAAGGGCTAGAAAGCGTGCAAATCATTCACAGCTTGCAGTCCACGCAAAACCAGGCAGTAAGCACCGCTGAAAACAGCTGAGCGGTGGAAACAGCCGCAGGGCCCCGCCCGTGGATCAGGAAGAGGTGGTACATGAACACCATGGACTAGCCCTCAGCTATCCAAACAGATCAACTCTCACCATCTGTGGCAGCATCGAGGGGGCTGAGGGGACTATGCTCAGCAAAATAAGTCACAAAGAGAAAAACACATCCTGAATGGTGTCAATTATGAGCTCAGAGAAACCAAAGAAAGGGTCAGATAAAGAACTAACCCCTAAAAAGCTGACTACAGAGTTGAGGGTGGAAGGGGTGAGTGGGGAGGGCGACAGCAAGGTGGGAGGCAGCACAGAGGACCGTGGGGAGGCTCGCAGGTGTCTTGGTGGTGGGTGGGACTGCCGACTACCTACCTGGGGGAGAGCCTATACTTCCAACACATGAGCAACGACGCAAAGCCATGTCACCTCAATGAAAACAAATAAATAAAACGGGACATTAAGCCCAGGCAGTGGCTGTGCTGGCTCAGGGCCAGGAGGGTCTCGGCTACTTTGTCCTTCTGTTTCCCTCCCCGGCTCATGATGGGGCTTGCAGAAAACAGCACAGGTTTAGCTTGGAGTCAAACATGTCTGAGCTCACTTCGCCTGGGACTCAGCATAGCAGACCCTTAAGAACTTCTGGTGCTAGGCCTCTTCAGTCATATTTATTTTTTATTGATATTGCTCAGTTTTATCTGCATTCCATCTTATCCCAAGAATATAGTTTTCTCAAATGACTCACTAGAGAACAGGGGTAGTTGTTTGGGTAAATGTGTTTCTGGTATTGAGCCTCACCCAGGAGGACCTAAGAATTTTAAGACTTTATGGTTACTCTAAGCACTTGAAAATTCTCATTCCAAGTCAGTAAATCTTTCCCTCAACCTATCTGGCCTACAAATTGAGATGTCTGGTCTTAGTAACCCAGGAAAGATGGCTGCAAATGCTTCGAGCCTGGAAAATAAGTCACAATGTATTCTGAAAGTCTATATAACATTTTCACATCCATGACATTTTTGCATCCTCACAAAAATGCTCAATTCAGGTATGATTAGCCGACATTTACCTGAACAGCTAAACTTAGAGCCGCAAAGCACTTTTCAGAAGGCACCACAGCTAGAGAGCTTTGAACTTAAAGTCAGAACACGGAGGGGCCACCTCTTTCCAGCCCTGAATTCCTGGTAGGCTGTACATGCCCAGAAGCCAGCTCCATCAGGCAATACCTTTGTTTAAAATCTCAGGAGGCAAAAGATAGCACACGGGGTCCCAAACAGTTTCTGAGCTAGTTTGCAAACCTGAACACACACTGGGTCACTGGGCAGCTAGTGGGAAGCACAGGGCTTGGCACAAGCTGTCAGCTTCTCTGGACCAACAAGGCTTGCAGATGATTCTCTGAGCCTCCAGGGCTGAGATGATTGCACCGGAGCAGCCTTGCTTCAGAGCTGTGAGAGGCTGTGTGGTGCATGCATCTTTCTACTGGAGACCCTCTTGCCCACTAGCCTCCAGGCCCAGGGGGGTGAGTCAGCCCTGGCTTCCTCATGGTCACCAAGTCCCATCCCCACCATCAGCCCTGCCCTGGAATCCGTTCCAGCTCCCCAGGGGAATTTCCAAAATGTGTTGTTGGTCTTGAAGCAGGGTGAAAACCAATTTTGAAAAGAGCCTTTCAGAAATGGGGTAAGCTGCTGCTTCTCCAGATTCAAACTCATCTTTAAAACCCACAGTTAAAGTTGTGTTTCAGACTCAGGCGGTGTGGAAGGGGTGAGCTGGAACGTGAAACCCACTAAGGAAAGGTACAGTGTGCCGTATGGAAGCATCTCCAATTTATATTCAAAACATCTGTTTCCCAAAATTCCACAGAATGTTCACACTTACTGATAAAAATGGTAACATTTAGAGATAGCATGAGGGCCGTTTCATGGTCCCCTGAGTGTCTGTTTTTCAACATGTCAATCAGCATGAACACAACATTTTAAAGACCTTTAAAGTTGGGTCAGTTTGTTACTGGAACCAAGGAATTATCGTCGTATTCAAAAAACATTAGGTCAAAGCAGTGAGCTGGGTAACACACTGGCACAAACTGCTTTGCAAAGTTGGTTCAAGGATAAGGACCGCATGAGAAGTGTACTGAGTTCCTTAGAAGAAAAACCTCAAAATATGGTGCCTGTCATTGAAAGGTTTTAAGCTCTTTATATAAATAACGTATTATTTCTTAAATTACAGAGCACTCTAACAGGGAAGGGGAAAAAAAAGTTGTTTTTTTTCCAAAACAGCAGTATTTTCCCATTATTTCTGAGCCTACAGATTTTGAAAGCACCCAGCAGTTTCTCTAACTTAAAGATGACTTAAGGGAATGTGCAGCTGATATATTTTTTAATTAGATGCCATCAGACCCAAGTTCAAGTTCACGATTCCCTAGTGCTTTCTTTAACGTAGAATGACATTTTAATTGAGAGGGCATTTTGGGGAGAATCAACCATAATTTGCTAAGAAGGTAATAATAAATATTAGTGGTTGGCTTTGCATAACAGACTCTGGCCTGTCGTGTTTCCTAAATGGCATGTCACATATAGTGTGTCACTCTGTCTCACTGTGGCTCTATGAAGCTGAGTGACCGTAAATCCTCACAGAGGGGGAAAGGAATGCTAGAAAAGTTGGAACAGCTTAAAAGTGCTGGAGCTGGCATGTGTCAACCCTCAGACACAGCAGTCCTGGGCTCTAAGTCTCCTCTGATTTCAGAGCCTGAGTCTGTTCTTATGGAGATTTGTGACCTAAAATAAGTCATTTCACCTTACTGTGCTATCACTTGTGTAAACAGATACTAGGGCTGCTGGAAAGGTACAAGGAGATGATACACGTAACTGCATTAGGATTCTTGCTGTTAAGATCCTTGACCTCACGCTTTATTCTTACGCAGCGAAAACACATAGGAAGGAGAGACACCTGAAGACTGACCACTGAGAAAGCAAACATCAGAGTCGGTGTCTTTCTTTAGTACCTAAAAGACGAAACTATTCACATTCTTAGCTACAGAACTCCCACACCTTGCTGGACCTGTCTCTGTCTGGCTTGTGCAAGGGCCTTGGTGACCTCCCTATAGTAGCAGCATCACACTGAATGGCATGAACATTTTAGGCTGTCTTATTTTCTGCTTTTAGACAGGAATAAGAACTCAGCTGAAAGTGGAAGGGTCTGGCCCTGTGCTCACCTTCAAGGAGGTCACTTTTATCAGGCCAGCTGGGCTGGCCAGGCCGCATCTGCCCAGAGGACAGGTGAGACATCCAGGCCTCAAGGGGGCTTGAATGTCATCGCTCTGGCGGAGCTTTTGCAATCATCTGACTCAATGACATGGCACCAGGAAGCACAACAACCCAGCAGGAGGAAAATAAGAGCCAAACCACGCCACACCACAGGGGGAAAGTCCCCCTACTTCCGAACCCAGGACCCAAACAGCTGCTGCCTGCCAGGCTGAACCAGCACCAGAAAATACGGAAGGGAGCTTGAGGGGAGAGGAGGGGGCCGACAATAAGCCGATTAAAAAGGATCAGGACTTGGCGGTCACAGTTAGACGGACTTGCTTTCTTATCTTCGTCATGAGTATCTTGCTAATGCTTGTTAAGTTTTTTTCCCAACACAGGGTTGCCATCTATCCAGGGGGGCTGGGCGTGACCCTCATCGGTATGATGCTGCCCCTGTTTGGGGGCAATCTCAGTACACCTTAACAGGATCACAAGAGACCTTGAGGTCTGACAGGGGAGGAGAGGGAGGTTGAGGAGTCCATTTCCTGCCTTCCTTAAAGTCCCCAGAAAATTTATATTTTTTTTGGGCAGAGAGTTGGGGGGTGGCAACCTACTTTAAGACAACATGAAAAAAAAAATTCAACTTAAGAGAGAGTTTTGATAAGCCACTGGGTGCTTGAGACTTACCCGTACTACGTAGTTAAACCTTCTGGAGTCCAGAATGGCAGTTGAGAAGTCCAGTCTGTTGAAAGCTTCCCCCAGAGTGCAATAGCCATGGCGCTGGGTGTGAAAATGGGGTGCAGAGGTCACTCCTGCCACAAGAGCTGTTCTCCTGAACAGTCCACCAGGAACCCACCCCACAAGCATGACACCTGCCCTAGGTTACCTGCGGTCATCTGCTTCGTCCTTTGCCGCTAAATTTCTTCTGAGAACCCCTGGAAGCCACATGGCCGGGCGTGGCTCACCCTCGTGCAGTACCCCCACTGCGACCCATACCCCCGGGGCCTGGTTCTCTGCCGGCCCCAGAATAGGAAAATGCTGCTACTCTCATCAGAAACATTTTTAAGGCTGACTGAGGAGCAAAAGTTTTGCTCTCTTATCTATGAATTCACAAGGCGCTGGGAGTAGAGAGCCATGCTGACTCACAGAGGCCAGCTCTAGTGAGGTGTATTGTTGAACACAGGCATCCTCTAAGATTGAGACAGAAATCGTATTCTATCACCTAGCACCCTGGTTCAGACACACACCTGTGCAGAGAGAGGACACAGAAGGGGCTTCTCTAAAGTGCCACCTCGTGTGGCTACGGACTGCTCCCCGCCTACCTCACACAAGCAGATACCAAAGACAAAGTTAGTGATGAGTCCTCCCTTCCAGTGCTCACGCTTAAGTAAGATGAAGTCTAAAGAGAGGTAGGCACTGTCCTAGAGCGAGGCCGGGGCTTTTAAATGATAGCTGTGAGGTGGACACAGCGATCTGTAGAAGGCATTTTTGGCTCTATCACCTCTCAGAATGGAGGGGAGGCCACACAGTGACTTTTGCTCCCTCCCTCATATCTCTTCCCTACATGCTCTGATGTTCGGCTAGGAAGCAGGCTTCTAGCCACTTCTCCCTCCCCCCAGAAGACAATCATGCCTTGGCATGATTCTGTAGCCCGATTTCCCCCTGGCCTCCTGGGAGGCATGAAGCTGAGCACACTTTTCAGTCAATAGGGGTGCTCACCTCTTTAGTACTTCCTTTGTGAACGTAGATCCATTTTTCTTGGTGGAAATCTACAGAGACAGAACAAAAATAACACACATTTAAAATCTTTCACTTGCCCAAGATTTTAAACTTTTCTTTTTGACTTTACTCCAAAGTGTAAAAAGTTTCGACAAAAACACAAAGATTCTACTGACAACCTAAGAGGAAGCCAGTGCCTAACTTCTATCGCGTGTAAATGTTGGAGTTATAATTGATTTCGTCTGAGGCACTCCAAGTCTTTGATGATTAGATTTATATACCAATGCTCCAAATTAAAAAAAAAAAAAAACAAAAAAACACAACAACAAATACCCAAGTACAAGTTTGTTGCCAAAGCCAAGCCTGTAACTTACACAGGTCATAGCAAGTAGAAATAAAACAGATAACACAGGAGGAAACCGGGCTGTACAAACGGACTGAGCTAAACATCTGGAATGCCTGCATATTAACAGAACTTTATCCTCTCTGTCGAGACGTGCATATAGCACCTAGAACTGTTAAGGGTTTTTTGGTACAATTAAAGAGGGAGAAATAAATATTTTCAAAGCCTCAGAGCATAGTTAAAATAAAAGCACACACTTGGAACTGATTCCATGGACCATAGGCGTGGATAATAATGAAATTAACTATGTCAAATATGAGTGACAAGCAGGCGGGGGCAGGGAGGAGGTGGAGAACACTCCAGCTAGCAACTGTGCATAAATAGGAGGATAAGGGCACATTGTAAAAGCCAGGTTTCAGAGGGTAGAGAGCAGTTATCACTGCCAGTGACAGAGTGAACATGAAAGCAGATGTCTAACACTGAGGTGTGATTTCTTTTCTGAAGGAACCACTCAAAATGATCTTCAAACAGCTTTCTTTTGAAGTTCAAAACCAACAGCTTACACTGAGTTTTGGTTTTGCTGTTCATCATGTCCTTCTTTCTCTTCTTGGCTGCAACGTCATAGTTGAGGTTGCTGAAAAGGTTTTCCTTATTGTATACTTCCTTGTTGCGGTAGCTAGGGATAACAGAAGACAGGAGGGCGTGAGCTGTAACAGTGATACTTTAATATGAGCTGTTTCTATAAATAGTTTGCTGGATCATAAAACACAAACATACCTGCTCCTCAAACAAACACTAACAATCGCCCAAAAGCAGTGTATACGGTCACAGACGTCCCTCTCTGGGGATGGAGTACTGTCCCGTCTCTGTGGAAGGCAGGGATAGGGCTTCTACTTCTTTTGAATCCCCCAACAGTGCCTGCCATTGTATGTGATGCACAGCCTGGCCCTCTTTAACGAAGAGCAATGCAGGGCACCACGCTATCACTTTCAGCAAAACTGAATGGTATCACTGTAATACACAAAGCCTTCATTTTGCACAAGTATCCACCCCACGTTGCTTTAGAAAAATAGCTTTATGGAGCTATGATTCTCAGGCCATACAATTCACCTATTGAAAGTGTACTCCAGCGTCTTTTACTAGCCTGCTCCCGTCATGACTGTAAAACATGATCACATTTATAGAAATCGGACTTCCTAACCCCATTTGTTGGCGATGTTTAGAGTCTAGTGATAATTGTTTGGGTTTCATGTAATTCCGTGGGTCACATGAATCATGCGCAGAAGGGAAGAACTCGGGCTCTCTATGAAACAAGCTGAATTCATAATTTGCGTGTCTGTGGACGGAGGTTCATTGTGGGTCAGGTGGGCAGCTCCTGTCGGCTGAGCTGACATCTGGGGGCCTGGCTGCGTCTTATTCTACCATGAAGTGTGTCTTCACATCCTCAGAAGGGCTGCGGGAGCAGCCTGCATGAGAAGATGGATTCCTCTCCTAACCCCAGCGGTACATATAAATCCGGATTTAAAAAAAACCAGTTATTTGGTATCACGGTTAACTGCGTTGGTTTCTACTATTGTTTGTGATTTAGCGGGCTCCCCCTTCAGGTGGTGCCACTGCACCCACCACCACCCAAGCAACCACAGACCACCCCCCGTGGTTCCCACGTGGCTCTCCCTGCAGAGCCTCAGTGCCATAGTCAGATTTCCTGGTGCGTTATTAATTTGGCTTTATATGTAAGGACTTTTTTTACACATCCTTGTTTATTTTTCCACAAACTAGCATTTTCCCTGCAGTGGGTTGCCACATTTCTTCCCGCCTGTCTTGTCGAAGGGCTGACACGTGACGTCACCACCACTCTACTCTGCTTCCCGACCACAGGGATAAGCTCACGGGATAATCAATCCCTGGTTAATCTCTAGTGAGGCCCTTCTTAATACGTTTACCGAGAAGTTTCTTTAGCCTTCTCCTTTTCAGAGAAACAAGATATTTTTAGGTTTTCGAAAGATTACTACAGCAATGCCTTCTCTTAGTGTCAAGGGTAAATGTGTGGGATCTGACTTCATGTGACACAAGAGTGTGTGTTAACCTGCAGGAGACACAAAAGTTTCAGCTCCTCAGGGATCTGCCGGAGGGTCACCAGGTAAAGGCACTGAAGAAAAAGTCCATATGGCTAATTTCAGACATTTCAATTAATACCCATGAAAGTGCAAAGCTGGAAGGTCACCTGATAGTCTGTGATGTGCCAAAGCTGAGAGCAGCTAGACGCAAAGGTAGAACATTTTGAGTGCAAACACACCCCCCACAGGCTTCGTTGTAAAGAAGACACATACATGCACTGCGGACAGAACCCTTCAACCGAAATTGCACTTACAGAGAACCATGAAGTAAAGCTGTCTTATCCTCAGTCACACATTCAAGCTTTAGTAGAAAATGTTCAGAGCATGGCCAGAGATGGGGACCATAATTCAGAAATTGTAAATATTTATACGTCATCGTATTCTTGGCTAATTGAAAACACTCCTCCAAAGCATCTGAACACTTTCTTTCCTTATAGAAACTACAAAACCCGCATGCAGCCCAAGGCCTTGTATCCAACATAATGGACAATGCTCAATGTGGAAAGTTTGAACCAAGAGAAACCCTGTATTATTGATGCGATTATCAGGTTTCAGATTCCAGAGCAGGGTGCAGAAGGCAGGATTATGGGGTTTATTGGTGTTGCCTGTTTATAGGTTTTAAGTAATAATACATTCAGTTAGAGGCTATTTTGAGTGTTCAATTATGTCCCTTTCAGAGACCTGAAAACAAGAAAAGCCAACACCATTTAGGAACTGTGACATTTAGTTAAAAAACAAAAAGTAAAACCACTCATAGAGGTCGCTCTCTTTAAATTCAACAACAGTCGGTGAGTTTCTGTTTGTAGTCGATTCTTACGGATCTTCATTTTCGGAGGCATAGGTCTAGTGTAAGAAAAAAGACCTCTTTCCGTCCTGTATTATCATGTCTCCCACTCCTGCCCCAAAATACTCGAGACAACTTTGGAAAAGGGGAAAGATGTCAGAATAAGACCATTTTAACAACAGAGATAAAGAGAGCAAAGGCAAACAGAAAAGGCCTGTTTCTCACACAGGCCATTTATCACACAGGCCGTGTAAGAAACCGTGGCCTGGCCCCAAGCAATGAGCTGTGGGTGAAGGGCCAAGCCACTTCTGTGGGAGTCTGCACTAACATAGACCCAATCTGTCAATTCACCCAGATTGCTGGGACAAAACAGCCAAGGATCTAAAGCTCTTAAACTGTGCCCTGCGTCCAGATAGTGCTAATAAAAATCTTAACTATTATTTTCTTATGCACTCATCTAGGGCAGAGAGGTGAACTTCCTGCTTCCTGATTCAGACTTATCTTCGCTGGGAAGCAATACTGGAGCTTTGAAAGGTAGGACTGCAGGCATGAAGAAGAGTGCTCTGGGTTCAGCTGAGATTGGCTAGGGTGGGTGGGTGGGGGGGTTTGTTGTCAGCAGGCCTTACTCAAGGAGGGGCTTTGGGGCTAGAGGAGGTCAGTGGTAGGGGGACTCAACCACCACTTCCTTGAAATATTTGGGTCACCCCAATTTATGCCAAGCTCTTTCCTTAAAATTTGAACCTGCTCTACTAAAGTCATCACTTGCCATCTTATACAGTTTCAACTTGCTAAGAAGGAACTCTACTTTTAAGTTTCTTGGAAAGCTCCATGTTCTCAGTTTGGGTACTTAGCTGGGATGGGCCTGGTAATATTCAGTGGCTGGAGGAGGACACAGCCCTGGACCACAGGAAGAGTGGCCATTCGAGGCAAGAAAAGATGTGCTGGGCAGACAAGGAGTGGGCAGCACTCACCCTTCCTCCCTGATGGGCAGCTCACAGGGGTCATGAACAGGAGATGTGCAGGGCCTGGGCTCAGACTCAGCCTGGGTCCGGTTTCCCATCCCCCCCGCCTTTTGTCAGGCTGGCCTTTTTTCTCCTAACAGGAGAGGCATTCAACTTCACCTGTGTGGGCAGGCACTCAGCCCAAACCAGACATCACAGACTGAAAACAGTGGGGATATTTGAGACTAGGAACCCAGGTCTCAGAAGGCCAATGCTTTTAAGAAGTTGGCAGACTTCTCATGCTAAGTAGGGAAGGGATTGTTTACAATTGCTGGGGGAAAAAATACTCCGCAAACAAACAGCCAGCTGCTGTGCTAGGAGCTCCCAAGTGATTCCTAAACTCTGACTCATCAAGAACCCAGGCCTTCACTATATTGATCATCTCCGAGATAGAGACCCACAGCTCCAAGCTCAGAGGGCCTGAAGTGAGGGGAACCAGATCCCAGTCTAGATTAACTTTCTGTGGTAAGTTAAAACCATCTTCAGGCCTTCCTGAAGTGGAGAGAGGCCCCATCTACTTCCAAGGAGTGACAGCAGATACAGCCTATCTATAGAACTATGGGCTCTGTGTTTTGAATCATCTCTTGCTGGACCAGCGGTCTGCTTCCTACCGAAGAGGACCCTACAGTTCTATCTGCAGAGCTGCTGTGACCCACTTCAGCAGGTCACTGCTGGACCTCCCTAGAAAGAATCTGAACTGTTACATAGAAACAAAGTACCAAAATATCAGACCATCCTTCCTCCCTAAGGATTGCGGAGAAAGGAAGGATCTATCTATTCTACCAGGATGGAAGAGAGCTTGTAGTCTAGGGAGAATAATTTAGGCATAATTGGTAGCCTGACTCCATAAAAGACATAGTCCAGTGACAGCAGTTGGTCTTGTTTCTTGTAAGTAAACATCTCAGTTGTCATAAATACACACACACACACACACACACACACACACACACACACACACACACACACACACACACACACACACTCTTCCCTCCCTACCCCCCCACCCCCATTGGAAGACAAAAGGGAGGTTGAAGCATTGCAAATTACAAACACATGGGATCTCCGAGGTCAAGTGGTCAAAATAACCACATTTTCTTGAGTTTTCTAAAAACCGAGTGCCGAGGGCTCCGCCAAACACCCCCTGGTAAATCTCAGTAAGTGGGAACCAGGCCCAGTTGGACTTCTCCAGTGAAGTCAATTTAAGGGCACCCAGAGTGGGGGTGGGAGGCCCTCTGAGATTTCAACCACAGGCAGTGGAAAAAGGCACCCAAGGGTGACGGGGCTGCACGGAACAATCCGGAACCACTTTCACTGTTGCCCTCACCAGGGCCAAATGAAGGATTTCCAGAAACCAGCGGCTGAGGTCCGGAACGGATGGATTCCAGACCACCTAACTCAGTGCTCCGTGTATGGGCCAAGCAGGGCGCCCCTCGAATCTAGGCTGTTCAGCCAGGCTGGCAGAGCTGGTGGTGTCCAGGAGACACCTGAGTCCTGGAACCAGGTGGGCTTTCTCAAGTTGACACGTACCACTTGAAATTTGGGTGCACGTACTACTCAAAGAAGAGCGCCCAAATTTCCACTGAGGAAACCAGACCTCCCAGAAGCAGGTCTGTGGTTCTCATCCCTGCCCCTTTACAGCTTCGCGGCCCCGGGCTTTCCCCCTGCTCCCCTAGACGGCCCGGCAGCGCCCAGAACCCTCTGGCCGCCCCTGCTCGGTTACGCATCCTCCTTGACCCTCTGGTTGCCGCGCGTGGGAAGAGCCTGGAGGCGCTTGGGGCTGGACCCGCGCATCACCGCCCGGCTGACTCGTGGCCACGGCGCTCGGCGCTCAGAGCCCCGCAGCCGGAAGGTGCCCGGCGCTCAGCTCGCGGGTAAGCGCCGCGGCGCAATCTGCGCCGACTCGGTTGTTTACGGCCAGAGGTCCCTTAAGTGGTGTTAAGTTTGAGCCCTGGGGGACAAGACCCGCGTGAGCTATCAAATTCTCAGCAGGCATCCTGCCCACTTTGAGACGCTGACCTTGAACAACAGGAGAAACCAAACCCCCAATCCCGGTGACCTCTGCAGAAACCCGGGCAAGTGACTCCCGTTCCCGGTCAGAGTTTCCGTCCTCGGTCTCTGCCCCGCCACCCCGTCTTCCACCGCTGCGCGCCCCGGGGCCAGCCCCGGTCTGTTCTGCGCTGCTGGAAGTTGCTGGCGGGTGCCCTCACCTGCTGAGGTCGCTCACGAAGCTGCCGCCCTTCTCGTCCAGGAAGCGCTTCCAGCCGTCGGCCGTCTTCACCCAGCTCTGCCCCGGGGACCGCCAGTCCTGCCCGAGGAATGGCATGGCACCGCGAGCGGATGCGACGGGCGGGCGCGGCGATCTGCTGGACGGGACCGGCCCGGACGCGCCGCCCC